CCCTAGGATACCTCATGAAAGACGAAGACCCAGCAGAAGTAGCAAAATTACCGGAGTACCCTCGTGCAGGTACATTTTGGCGCCCACCGTGGGGCCCGTTTTGAAGGCCCGCATTGTTTATTTCTTTTGCAGGAAGAAGATTTTGTAGAAGATGGTCACTACTAGGAACAACAACCACTCGGTTCAACCCGAACAGGACTCGAGGCCGGTTGCTGTGGAAGATCAAACTGATCTCTCAGAAGTTGTGAGTATGCTTCGTGAAGAAATAGCAGCTGTCAAGCAAGCCCGAGAAAAAGACGCTCAGGAGCTTGAAGCACTCAGGAAAGAAAATGCCGAATTGAGAAGCTTGAACAGAACTTGGAACCCTACGACTGAGCATCCCAACAATGAGGCATCCTCACATCATGCACCGACAACTCCACGAACACGTGCCCCTCCCATGCAGCTGTCAGCCATCCCAGGGCAACCTTCCCCTCGAGTAACAATAACACCTGGCTCATACAAACACCCTTTCACTCAAAGCATTATGGAGGCAACCATATCTCATAGCTGGAGAAATCTTCCTCTAGAGAAGTACGATGGGTCCTCGGACCCTGGTGACCATTTGAATGCATACCTCACACAGGTTACCTTGTTGACAACAGAAGATGCTTCCTTGTGTCGCCTTTTCCCCACTTCACTAAAAGGACGAGCACTGAGTTGGTTCATTAAGCTTTCCCCTAGCTCCATAAATTCATTTGAAGAACTAATATCTTTATTTACAGTACAATTTGCTACAAACAGACCTTACCAACTGACATCATTGGCGTTGGCCAACATCAGACAGGAAAAGAAGGAATCCTTAAGGTCATTTATGGATCGTTTTAACAAAATCGCAATGGAGATAAAAAAACCTGAACCCAGCTGTCGCAATGGATAGGTTGAACACAGCGTTGAAACCTGGACCTTTTGTAGATAGTTTATGCAAAAAACCTCTGTTGGATATGAATAACTTGAGGAGAAGGGCTGAAAATACATGAAAATGGAGGAATTAACTGAATCAAGAAATCAAGCTAGAGCCGAGGCTATGCCAATTGGGAAGCAAGGAAGAATCTAAGGGAAGGAAAGCTCTCGGCCAATTGAGATGGACCATACAGAATTAATCAAAACATGCGAAATGGAGCATACAAGCTAGAAGAATTAAATGGAAAGTTAATGCCAAGAACATGGAATACAACACATTTGAAAGTGTATTACAGTTGAAAAACATTGTAATTCGGTGTACTCTTTTCCTTGCTTAGTTTTTTATCCCTAAAAGAACGTGAAAGGGTTTTTGCTAAGCAATGTTTTTAATGAGACACCCCAGTAAATAATAATACAAGAAATATTTTCAGGTTTAACGAGCGCCTAGACTTTGTGATACGGTTGCCGGAAATCGTCGTCGTCGTGGCTGGAAATTGAGTCCGTTGCGGGGTTGACGGAGTTGGCCACCATGCCGAGGTAGAGGAGCTCCATCGCGGGGGGTTTCTTCTTCTCTTTGGTAAAGCAAAAACTGTAACAAATTGGTTACACTTTTTAAAAATAAAAATAAAAAATAAATGCAATGACGTGACAATTTATGATTGGGGAGACAGGGTGGAGACAGGAATTGGAGACAGAAGATTTTGATCCAGGTTCCAGTCTCCATAGAAGTCAAAGACACATGAGTACAAGCCTATACAAAAGATCCTATTCAAATAAAATCATATTCTTGAATTTATATTTCAAAATTAGTATGTCTCATCAGTCATATTCTTTTATACATTTGTCTCATATATCGTTGTATTATAATGTGATGAAATGCATTTCGATGTAATTTGTCTTGAAAATAATATCAAAGAGATAAATTCTAAGAATATTTTTGTAATGGACCTGTAAGATGTTATCGAAATAATATAATTTAAATTAATATATATTAAAATAAATAATAATATTATTATAAATATAATATAATATTATATAAAGCATAATTTTAAAATATTATTAATGATGATTGTTCATTACTAATATTTACATTTTACCTCAATATTATTATTTTATTTGTAATTATTTTTATGTCTATAAATAATCTCATTATTAGAAATAATATAAGAAACTTCCTATTCTCTCGTTTGTATTGTTCTCTTTAATACTTTCTCTTCCTTTTCACAATTATTTATTATTTTTATATTATAATTTGTAATTTTATTTTGATTTTCATAACATCTTTGTTATTTTTTATTTGAACAAATACCGTACAATATAAGTTTTTTCACACTAAATTTCATCTAATAATATTTATAAAAAATAATACAATAATAAAAATGTAAAAGATATATGTAACATATATGTTAGCAAAAGAATACATATGTACTACTCTATAAAAAAAAAGGACAGAATAATGGCTTCAAAGAGTTGATTTTGGCTGGTAAATGATTTAAAGGAAAAAATACAATTACGGTAAAATAACATACAAACATAGTTATTGTGTCATAAAATTCAAAAAATTAATTTTTAGTGAAAAATATGAGCTATTATTTGAATAAAAAATAAAATAATACAAAATAATGACTTCAACGAGTTGATTTTAGACATTTTATTTATTTAAATATTATATTCTTTTCTTTATCAATTTTTATATATCAATATTATTTCACATTCTTATTAAATAAATTAAAAAATATATAATTTAAATACTAAATAGTGAATCTCTTTTATAAAAATTTAGACCATGAAAAAATTGTGTCCCTTACAAAATTAGAAAAGACCACTAACTTTAGCAAAAAAAATTTGTGAAATTTATACAGTATATCCAAATCTAACAAAAATAATAAACAATATAATTTTTAAAATAATTATAATATTAGTTAAAAATATTTATCATAAAAATAGTAACTAATCTTTATCATATAAAAATAATATTAATTATTATTATTCGTGTGAATTAATATTAATTAGATCGCAAATTAATTTTACGAGAATCGACTTGATAAATCTATTAATTTTTGTGTATGTTAATATAACATTTAATAAATAGAAATCATATTTTACAAATGTAGATTAATGTATATTTAAATATAAATTAATTTTAGTTGTCAATTTTTTTTAACAATCGTTCAATATCAGCTTTAGAAAATTGAGTAAAAATGCTGTAAAAAAAAAAAAAAATTCCCCTAATTATATGAACAATCATACAATAAAGGTAAAATAAACAAACATAGTAACATGAAGACAATTAATTTGTAGTTGATTGGAAATTCAAAATCTGAAAATTATCCCCTTAAGACCTTAAGGCTTCTTCTTCTCCTCATTTCTCAGTCTCACCCTAATTTTTGCCCTAAAACCCTGTCTGCCGTCGCGGTGGCCGCCCAAGGTAAGTAACAGCAAAACCCTATTTTCTTGTTTCGCTTTCTCTGAATTCAATCGATGCTATTGCCACCTAAATTTCTGCATTCTTATTATGATTGTGCAAAAGAAAATGTTCACACCGTTGTTTTTCTCTATGTTGGTTCACAGAAAGAAAGTAGAGTAGTTAACCGAGTGCTCACCCCCAATTCACCATGAAGCTTGTCAGGTTTCTCTCTCTCTCTCTCTCTCTCTCTCTCTCTCTCACACACACACACACACACACACGCACATTTTGTCCATTTTTCATCTTTTTTGGTTGCGTTAGTTAATTTATCTGTTTTTGTGCTGCTACGTTTTTTTTTTCCTGGGTTAACAATATAGATGAACATTGTTTACGCAGGTTTTTAATGAAGTTGAACAACGAAACCGTCTCGATTGAACTCAAGAATGGCACTATTGTCCATGGCACCATTACAGGTTTCTTTTCTTTCTTAATAATTATTTTTTCTTCTTTCGGTGCCGGAGGAGTGTGGAACCATTTACAAACAACATATTAGAGTTCATTTTTATTCCAGTGTCGTGGATTGGGAAATTGGCTTCCAAAATTAATTTTGAGTTGGTGGCTGAATAACTACAAATTTTTCCTTTACGGGGTAGTTCATTGTGGGGGGTAATTCGGAGTATAATTTAGACTGTGATATGTAGGATAATAACCTAGAGATACTGCAGTTTTTGTAGCCCTTTTAGAGGTTTGAGACATGCTGTTTCTGTGGGCTTGAATGATGGTTGATTATTGTTTAGGATTTTTGGGGTTAATTTGTGGGGAAATCTTCCTTTAGTGGAAGATTTCAAGACCTCAATCACCTGTCTTCTAAGCACAATTCTCCATAATTTTCTTAATTTCAGGGCTTAGTATTTCTGAATTTCTCAATTTCCACTTCTGGGGGAGCTTGCATGATGGTGAAATCAGTGCACTAAATTTCCTGACATGTTATGCTTTTACCTGATTCTAGTAGTCTCTTCCGTAATTCAGATAGAAGAATTTTGATTTTTTTAAATAGAAATGATTGTCCTGTGATATAAAATTTATGAACTTTCCATTGTCTGATTAAAATTAATGCAATCTTTTACATGAAATTTCCTTTCGGATGCCCATCTGATTTGAGTTTGATCTAGCCAGATGGATTGATATTTGGCATGCCATGAATTTATTCTCTCTCCCCTGCCCCTGTTCGTATAGAATAAATGAATATGAAGTAAATGTAGTTTATGAATCATGAGGGTAACGAGTCCTTTTTCTAAAAGCAGGCATACATATCTTGTTGCTTCCCAATTGAACTACACCAGTTATATAATAAATACTTGTTATATCTTGGTCGGAGATTTGATTTTTAGACAGGAAGTCTTAGCATTCTGATTCTGGAACTTCTGCAACAGGTGTTGATATCAGTATGAACACACATTTGAAAGCAGTTAAACTAACTCTGAAAGGGAAAAATCCAGTGACTCTGGATCATCTCAGTGTGAGGGGTAACAACATCCGGTACTATATTCTTCCTGACAGCCTGAATCTTGAGACCTTGCTTGTTGAAGAAACACCTAGGATTAAACCCAAGAAACCAACTGATGGTAGTGTATTTAGTTTGACTACAGAATTTTCTTCCATTTTTCTAGTTCATTTTAATAGTTTCTTGGTGAGTTCCTCTGGTTTTAATGTTAGCATATTTCATTTCCAGGGAAACCTTTGGGCCGTGGACGAGGACGGGGCCGCGGGCGTGGTCGTGGTCGTGGCCGTTGAGTTGCATTTTTCTTCATTTTTGTGGCATGTGGTTGTAAGCTATGTAACAAGAATTTCTAGGTGGTTTCAGGAACTTCTGAGCAGCATAACTATTAATTTATTCCTGCTATTTTCTTGCAAGAGCTTTCATGTTTTTGTGTACAACCACCTTCATGCATAAACCGATGTAACATGAATTATTTATTGTCTTATAGTTGTTAATGTGGAACCGACTGTTGAGCAGTATGACAAACGCGGCTCCTTATTGGTTATTATTAGTTATACATAACAGTAAATAGGCCCAATAGTTTCCTAGTGAGTTTGAACTAGATGATGGATTTCCTGATGACACAGATTCTTATGTTTATTTACATGTATGAATGACAATTTCTTAAACGTCTTATTTTTGTTTGCCTCCTTTGTGTTACTGTCATATATGCATTCTAACTTAATTATGTAAATTTATTCAGTAAACCGGGCAATGGGGATATACTAGTTAGAAGCACTTGCTATAGGCACCTTTACTCCTTTAGGACTAGGTTAGAGGATATAAGTTGGAGCTTTATGAGACAATACACCTTTTTGTGTGCTAAGGATATTTACATTTACAGCAAGTTAATATGCTGCTCCTCCTCCATTATGTCCATATAGTTTTTGAAGTGGATCTACTTTGTTCATTATACCTTAAGTCTAAATTTGATTTAGATTTACCTATAAATAATGCAGCTATAAAAGAGTTTCGTGGTTTCATTTTCAGTAAGAACCTAGATTGCAACTTCCACGTGTTGAGGTTGTGAGCTTGTGATTCACATTAATCTGAATTGCGCATACAAAACATCCTGTTACTTGTGATATTGATTTTCTTATGTATTGGTACGATACCAAATTGCCAATGTGAGGTAATTTAATTGGTTGAAGATGACGAGACTTGGCATTTCTTTTGTGCAATGGGTAAAATCTGTAATGCTCTAACTCGTATGAGTTGCATATCTGATTCCCTGCAGTGCGCTATGGGATCCCGGATCACAGAGCTTCCGAGGGATTAATTTTACTCAATAATGTTCATCTTTGTCAATGCCTATATGAAGCATTTTTTACCGAGGATTTTTCAAGAATGACAAGTATTATTCTTTCTCCCACCACTTTCCCATCAAATTGCATGTCACAACCATAAAAAGTTGCAAATGATCAGTTAAAGTGAAGATAAACGTATCATACAGAGACCTGCTGCCAAAATTTGTTACTGTGTGATGTATGTTTCTACTGCTAACAAAGGGTTTTCAACAGTGTTTAGTATGCAGAATTATGTAAATATTCTTATTATCTGTCAAATTAGATTTAACACAAGTATCAACAATCTTGGATAAAATTTAGATTTAATACTATCATCAATATTATTGCAAGTCGGAAGTTGTGCGACTCACGAGCTTATCTTAGGTTGCTTTACCTTTATTTTAATTCCCGTGCGTAAAATATTTAACCATGTTAGGATAACTTAATAAGCAGAATTTAAACCATACTATCATGCTATCAATAAGATTAAATTATACTAATTTCCAATGAAATTTTGTAAAATTGCAAATTTTCTACTTTTTCTATCCTATGCTAAGTTGCTAACTCTTAATTTTTTTTAAGAAACATGATACACACTCTTAAATTCTTAAATTAATTTCCTTTTAACTATTTAAAAAACATTACATCACGTCTTCATGCATAAGCTATTGTCATAAATGTTAAAAAAATGTCTCACTGCAACGGTGTTGTTAAAAAAAGAACGTTGTGTAGTCTTCCAAAAAAAAAAAAAACCTGAACAGGTGCTACCTTAATTAACAGTATCAATTGTGACGCATTCAACAATAATAACTAGCAAGTAGACTTTTTTTTTATCATTGAGGCAACTTCCTGGACTGAAAAACAGCAAACTTGGAAAGTCCAGAATAAGAATAATCGATTCCATTCCCTCGAAGAAACTCCTGGAGCAACTTCTTATCTCTCTCAGGGTCATCACTCTCACATTCCAACTCATAACTGGTCCCAAAATCATAGTTGGTCTCATCCAGCTCCAGCTTCAACCCCTTCCACTCATGCACGCCTCTCACATTCCTAAACCCCCCCAAGCACACCACCCCACTCTCCCCAACACCGTACTCCTCCCTCACCCTCTTCACTATCTCCGACGAGTCCACGGACAAGAGCCTCCACGGCTCCGCAATGCACGCACGTCCCAGTGAAGGGTCCAAGGGCTCCTCCTGCTCCTCCATGCGGCTTATTCCGGCGCCGATCACCGGCTTCGCCTTCAGGGAGAGCACGCACTGGTCCAGGTCGTAGAACCGGAGTCGGAGAACGGCGAGTTTGGATGTGAGCTCTCTGTTGGCACCGTCGAAGAAGATGTTTTCTTGGAGTATGGTTTTGGAGTATTGGGAAAAACTCAAGTCCCACATCGACTAGAGATTAGGCAATTGAATAATATATAAGTGGAAAGCAACCCTTACCTTACAAGCCGGTTTTGTAGGGTTGAGTTAGGCTTAATCCACTATTCTAACATGGTATCAGAGCCATTTAGATCCACTTTAAAAATGGGCCACCCACCATTGATGCATGCCTCATAGGCATGAGGGGGTGTATTGGGAAAAACCCAAGTCCCGCCAATCCTAGATCATTAAAAAGGGCCACCCACCATTTATCCACGTACCAAGCCCAATAGTGCTGGACGTGAGGGGGTGTATTGGGAAAAACTCAAGTCCCACATCGACTAGAGATTAGGCAATTGAATAATATATAAGTGGAAAGCAACCCTTACCTTACAAGCCGGTTTTGTAGGGTTGAGTTAGGCTTAATCCACTATTCTAACATGGAGTGGAAGGGGGCGAGCACGTTGGAGAGTTTTTGGTGTGTGGATGAGTCTCGGAGACGAAGCTTGATCTCTACTTCCATGTTTATGATCACGTTTGAACAAGAAGGAGTCAAGGTGGTATTGATTCGGATGAACTCATGAGCATGATGAGTGGCTTTAGCATTCCACTTTTTTCTGCCTCTAGGAATGGATAAGAGTTGGAATATAATGTTGTACGTGATTCTTGCTTTGAGTAATTATATGCTCCCACATCGTTTTTTTTAACTGTTGGGAATTTATGTGGCGCAAGACACTCCACTGAGAATGGTCACGTGGCAATGGTTTTAAATTGCGGTTGCAGTTACTGTGATTGCGGGTATTGCAGATATTGCGATGCGGATTGTAGTTGTTGCGGTGTGAGATTATTAATTATTTTTACTAAATATAAAAAATTTATAATTATTAATATATATTTTATTTTTAACAATTTATACATTTTAATTCCTTTTTTTTTAAATATTCTATTATTTTAATAAATAATTTAATTTATTTTAAAATTATAGTATCAATTTATCGTATTGCGGATGTATTGCGGTCCGCAATTTAAAACCATTGGCTAACACGGCAAATAATTGGAGATGTTATGTTATAAAAAAATGCCATGTAAATTGGGAATAGAGACACATGCAGACTTGAGAGTTATTTTCTCCAAATCTTATTGGATTATTGCTCAACGGGGAGCATTGATTAAAAAGTTGCAGCAACACTCATTGTTCTTGTTCTTGAGGTCGATCTCCTAGTCCTAGGAGAATCCCACATCTCTTACTCAATCTAACACGGATCAACAGAATAAGTGTTAGTTCTACCTAACAAGGTTGGAAGAACCGCCACTGCAGGATAGCGGAACAATTTATATTTGTCCTGTCTCCTTATTTATTTAAAATTGAATTCCACCGCATCAAGACTCCAAATATATCAAACAAATAGGATGAATTTGATGTTTTAGCCGGTATATCAATGTTAACATATGTATAATTAATTGAATTAAAAAAATACAAAATTTAAATTAATATATATATATATATATAATATTATTATAAATATAATATTATAGTTTTAAAAATCGGACCGCTCATCAAATTAGTTAGGATATTAGGTTAGTGGATTAAAAGTTGAAGTGGTGAGTTACTAATTGAATTGCATAACTTAATTTTTATTAATTTTTTTTAAAAAAATTCATGTTAAATATATTTTATACTTATAAATTTTAATAAATTCATATCTTATTTTAAATTTTAATTTTCATCTTATTTAAAATTATCTTTATTTTTATTTTGTATAAAAAAATACATAAAAAATTAAAATAATATTCATGTTAAATATATTTTATACTTATAGATTTTAATGAATTCATATCCTATTTTAAATTTTAATTTTCATCTTATTTAAAATTATCTTTATTTTTATTTTGTATAAATAAATACATGAAAAAATTACATGTTAAACTATATATTAATATGAATTAAAAATATAAATAATATTTATATATATATATATAATATATTTGCAATTGATATCACAAAATGATATATATAATATCTACATAAATATTATATTATTAAGTATATAATTTAAAATTAATAATATACTATAAAATTTATTTAAATTACATATATTATAAATATATATATTAGAACAAGTAATCATTGTTATGTTTGATAAGACCCTTTGCTTTTTCATGAATAATATTCAATTTTCATGTTGTTTTTTTTTTGAATTTTTTTAAAAGGGCTAAAAAAATGTTTGTGGTTGAACCGGTTTGATCTTCTAGTTCACTGATCGAACCAAAAAATTGACTGATTTAAAATAGGTTAAATGCATAACCGATCAAACTTAAGACTCGAATTAACTAAACACCGATTTCCAGTTCGACTGACCGGTCCGAGTCAATTTTTAAAACTCTCATATAAAATACTACTTATTAAAAAGTTATATTAGTGTTATGCTAAAAATTTATACATTATAAAAGAATGAAAGATGAGTTAAAATGATTTGAAATAAAACTCGAATACATTTTAAAAATTATATTAGATCCGATCTTAATTCGAATTCGTACAAATTAACAAGATGCATGATTTAGTGTTGTTCACCCCTATCTCCAACCTAACACTAAGAGACTTCCTCGGAGAACAGAGACAGTTACTACGTATCAATTTAGAGCACACTATAAAGAATGCTAGTTAACTAATGCATGTGATAAAAGGAAGCTTTCAAAAATAATTTGACTTTCCGGATCTGGGAATTAAACTCTCCTCTTCTTTGTAACATCATGTATGATATCCCAATGCTATGAATGCTTCCTATCTCTAGCTTAGTTGCTCCTGACTTTCTATGTTTCCAAAACGCTTAAACTCTTGGAATTAACTTTTAAGAATTTTGTCCATTTTTATGAATTAACTATCTTATCTTTTATATTCCTATTAAACATGTCCCATATGTATAGTATAATAATAATAATAACTTTAATCAATTATTGGCTATCCACGTAAGTTTGTTTTTAAAAAATTAGAGAAATTATTAATCCATTAGGGTTGGCTTATTGGGGGTAATGGGTAATATCTATCTAAACACTGCCTTGGACAGTACTGAAAATTTGGGGTTGATTCTAAGCATATAAGATTCTTCGGTCAAAGAACGAACTCGATTAAGTATAAATTCGAACATTTAAAACCCCTCGGTCTATTAAAGACTCTTCGGCCAGAAAAACTTCTAAAAACTATCGCAATGGAGATAAAAAAACCTGAACCCAGCTGTCGCAATGGATAGGTTGAACACAGCGTTGAAACCTGGACCTTTTGTAGATAGTTTATGCAAAAAACCTCTGTTGGATATGAATAACTTGAGGAGAAGGGCTGAAAATACATGAAAATGGAGGAATTAACTGAATCAAGAAATCAAGCTAGAGCCGAGGCTATGCCAATTGGGAAGCAAGGAAGAATCTAAGGGAAGGAAAGCTCTCGGCCAATTGAGATGGACCATACAGAATTAATCAAAACATGCGAAATGGAGCATACAAGCTAGAAGAATTAAATGGAAAGTTAATGCCAAGAACATGGAATACAACACATTTGAAAGTGTATTACAGTTGAAAAACATTGTAATTCGGTGTACTCTTTTCCTTGCTTAGTTTTTTATCCCTAAAAGAACGTGAAAGGGTTTTTGCTAAGCAATGTTTTTAATGAGACACCCCAGTAAATAATAATACAAGAAATATTTTCAGGTTTAACGAGCGCCTAGACTCAAGACCTCGGTCGAGGACACACTCGGTCGAGCGTAAGAAATGAATCAAGACCTCGGCCAAGGACACACTCGGTCGAGCTTGAAAAACAACTCAAGACCTCGGCCGAGGACACACTCGGTCCAGCGTGAAAAAAGAATCAAGACCTCGGCCAAGGACACACTTGGTCGAGCGTGAAAAAATAACTCAAGACCTCGACCGAGGACACACTCGATCAAGCTTGAAAAACAAATCAAGACCTCAGCCGAGGACACACTCGGTCAAGCATGAAAAACAACAAGACCTCAGCCGAGGACACACTCGGTCGAGCATGAAAAACGAATCAAGACCTTGATCGAGGACACACTCGGTCGAGTGTGAAAAACGAATCAAGACCTCGGCCGAGGACACACTCGGTCGAGCATAAAAAACGAATCAAGACCTCGGTCGAGGACACAGTCGATCGAGAGTGAAACGAATCAAGACCTCGGCCGAGGACACACTCGGACGAGCGTGAAAAACGAATCAAAATCTCGACCAAAGACACACTTGGTCAAGTACGTAAAATAAATCAAGACCTTGGCCGAGGACACACTCGGTCGAGCATAAAAAACGAATCAAGACCTTTGCCGAAAACCTACTCGAACGAGCTTGATAAACCAAGGCCTCGGCCAAGGACTCACCTAGCCGAACACGAGAACTCAAGACTTTTAGCCAAGGACACACTCGGCCTAGTCGTGGAATAAAACACGACTCTCAATTAAGGACACACAGTCAAGCATGCAAAGAGAAAACCTTAGACCGAGGGCAGACTCGATTGAGGATACAAGCAAAATCAAATTCGGGTGAAAATGCACACCAATGATTAAGTGATTCTAAACATATAAGATTCTTCGGTCAAAGAACGAACTCGATTAAGTATAAATTCGAACATTTAAAACCCCTCGGTCTATTAAAGACTCTTCGGCCATAAAAACTTCTAAAAACTGTTTTATATACGTTATTAGTCCTCGGCTAGAAAGTTGGAAAACTAAGTTTCAGATTTCAGATACAATAATCATCGACCAATTGAAAGTTGAAAATTGTTTTATGCCCTCGCTCAAAGGAATTAAAAGGAATCAAAAATTGAGAAAACCGTTTTGGTCCTCGGTCAATTGAAAGTTTTACATATTAAAAGGCCCTCGGCCAGTTAAGAAAACCGTTTTGGTCCTCGACCAAGTATTTAAAAGCTAAAAAATTTCGCATATAAAGCGTTCTCGGCTAGAAAAGTGTTGAAAGCCAAAATTATATATTGGCCCTCAGCCAAATAATTGAAACATAAAGCTGTACGTATAAAAGATTTCTTTGTGAAAAAGTTTTGAAAGCCAAAGTTTTATATATATATTAGTCCTCGGCCAAGTATGATTGAAAACTTAAATTTTACATATAAAAAGATTCTCGACCAAGTAATAGTTGAAAATGGTTTTATGTCCTCGGTCGAAGGAATCAAAAATTAAATAGCTGTGAGTAACTATTAAGCCTACTCTGGACCTAACAGTTGAAAACTGGCCCATTACAACTTTGCATTACTAATAACTTCCACATTTTTTTACCTATAACTTCTACATAAATCTTAGCACATGAGAAACTCATAATATCATATCAAATGTTGTCAACAAATTTTCTGTTCATTAACTGAACATTGCAAATTTAAGAAAACTTTGTTAAAAAATATATTGCCGTTTGGCTCAATTCATCATAAAATATTTTACTTTTGGTGACGCTTTAATATTTGATCAGGTCACAATACAGCACATAACAGTTTGCACGTCACAGCTTTTCAGAATAGGCTTCGGTGAAATATAACTTGCCCCCTCAATATCAGCTAAAAGTTATATATATTAAGAAAATTTGAATACGTCATCCTACATATTTAATTATAGAAAAT